GACATGAACTTACTGTGATAGATGGGTTGATTTTTCAGGGGCAATAAGGTTTTAATTTCAATGAGCCTCTGAAAAGAAATGATATGGAAGATCCATGAGAATCATTTAGGAATTGAGAAGTGCAAACAACGAGCACGAGAGGTGCTGTATTGGCTATGGATCAATCATGACATCACTAATGTGGTAGGAAACTGCTTTTCCTGCTTGAAATACAAGTTCTACCTATTCTTGCAGCAATCACAGTTATTAAATGGAAAAATAATATGAGGAAAGTATTTAATATGTTTTAGCTGTTGTGATTCAGCAAAGTACGTATGCTTAATGTTAAGGACTGCTTATGAGTAATCTCATCCTTATTCAGCCAAGCATTTAAGCATTTTGCAAAATCCCACTGACACATAAAGTTAACCATGTGCTTAAGGTCTGTGCTGAATTGGGGCCTGAGTGAAGTTTAGCAGCCTAACACAAGGAGAAGTAGTCTAATGTAAACAACTGGTTTTCCTCAGATCAGCTGCAAGTGCTCCAGAGATTAGTATGGGATACAGACCTATGATTTAATAAAGAATGCACTATTGTAGATGGAGCCATCATCTTTGTAAATTTCAGATGCTGAGTATTTCACTTCTTTCACTGTTAGTGGGAAATTTCATATTATTTTTACTTATTCTCAGAGTTTAAAAAGCACTGAAATAAACATACATCTGCAAACTTGTTTCAGTTTTTTTATTTGATAACATCCATTAAACATAGAAAGTGTTTAGAACTGTGTGGCACTTCTATGCTACATATACTTTAATCTGAGATATGAATAAAAACACCAAAATACCGGAAAACATATGTTTTTCCATATTTAAACACTGAAGATGGGGTGAAAGGGAAGCTGAGATTATGCAATTTGATGCAGAGAGAGATATGAAAATTTAACCAAGCATTTTCATGTCTATATATTTCACCAACATACATACAGCTCTCAGGATGTTTCTTTAAGAAACTTGCTCTACTTATCTACAGAAAATATACCCTAAGAGTGATTATTGATGTTAACACCACTTTTGACATTATTGATTGGCATGCAACTATATAAATATAGTATAATTACTTTTTCCTATAGAGTTTTGTACATATGAAAAATTATGATACAATAAAAATCTATACATATGGTGTTAGCAGTTCTGCTGCTGCTAACCTAAAATATACATCTTTTAAAAAAGTGACTGCTCAGCTCTTTGCAATACAAAATAAAAGAGCAATCTCAGAAATGCTTTTTTCTTTAAATAGCAATTTATATAAACATTCATATCTTCATTATCTCACTTTGGTTAGAACTGGTTAAAATGGTTCACCTTTGCCTGGTTGCATTTGTACACGGCAAGAATCAGTCTTAAGTAATCCACTTTATCTGGTTTAGGCAAAGGCTGACATTTGTAAAACAACAAATGTCAGATGGCTTCCTTTCTAAATCTGTGTGGTTATAAAGTCAAGTTTCCACTCTCAAAAGTTTAACAGTGGAAAATATTTGCTTGCAGGATTCTCACCTATTGGTAAATATTCCAGTGGAGGACTAGATTGCATCTCAGGAGAAATTGCTCCCTAAATTTTATACAATACACCTCCAAGAGAAGGTCAGCTTTTTAAAACATTTGTTTTATTTTAATAGTTCATGTGCTTTGCTGTATAGAACCCTAAAGACTCCCCAGATAGATTTAGCTGCTGCTAAATAATAAATTCAGTGCCATGGAAGGGGTGACAAATGTATATATCAATCTCATTGTTGTTTCCCTTGAGGTCTGGTGCAAAGCAGCATTACTCAGGATATTATTACATTCGGTTGCCATGAGATCTATGTTAACCTGAGACAGAGAACAATAATTATACTGCTACCAACACCTCACCTACCACTTCTTTATGCCTCCAAAATGAATGAAATCCTGACCCCTGTCAAAGTCAATGGTAATTATACCATTGACTTCAGTGTGGTCAGGTTTTCACCCAAAGTTTCTCTTGTCTAAAGATTGCATTGCAGACATGGAGGACAAAAAGCATGAAGTAGATGGCTGAAAGTAACATTGAAGATTTCTGGGACATGCATTTTATACACCGAAGGTATCATTCTGATTTGATAGCCTAGTATCTATAGCTATTCAGACCACATATGATGATAAAGAGGATAGAATGCAACCAATCAAGCTAAAAAACAAAGAGGAAATGAATGAACTGAGCAAAAACAAACAATGCTAGGAGAAATACCCAGTCAGAAAAAAAATATATGTTTAGAAAAAAATTGCTTTGAAGTTTTATGACCCAGTTTTGTAAATAAGATAAACTTCTCTCCACCCAACTAATGAAAAGTAAAAATTGCCATGTACAGATAATTGATGGTGACAGCTCTGGCATGCACTGTGCAGTAGGTGGTGTAATGGTCGGATGTACCCTGTGCATATAAGTAACAAACTGAGCTCTTGTGCTTTCTGTAGGGTTGGTAAGCACATTTTCGTGCCTTTTCTATTGATCCTCCCTTAACTCTGTTTCAGCTCTATATTCTTTTACAGACTTCTTCCCCTCAAACTAGAAACCGGCAGAACTAGTACCTCAGACTCAACCCTGTTGGGTTTCAAACATGTTTGGATTTGGACCCAATGGTTGCCCAGGGAGACAGATATTGCCCAGGCAGATGTAACCTTTATAATTTTCCTGCTATTTTCCCAAGAGCTCTTGCTTCTACATTAACAAGGCTGTGGTATTCTTTTCTCACTGTTTTTTGTTTTGTTTTTTTGTACAGCCTCTGCACGCTTTGTATGACTCTCATCATTGACCCTTTTTTTTTGCAATATCCTCACCTCTAAAAAAATGTTAATTGGAATCTATCTCAGTTTTTTAATTCCTCCATCACCATCTCAGATTGGATCCTAACCTCACCCTTTTACAAAATCCTGAGCCTCACATCCCTTCTGTTTCCCAGTGACATGATACAGTGCTGCCTCCATTTTTTTTAGTTCCCTGCATTCTGAAATGTTTGATGTGTTGAGGAAGAGATTTTAACCAAGAGCAAATGAGAGCTAGAAGTGCATGCGCACTCCCTGTATGGCATGATTACCACGAGAGAAGGGCCAAAACTACAGACCCAGACCTGAACTTCCCGAGTCTGAATATGATTGGTATGAGCTCGTTTCTAATTATTACATTGTGTAGAGAGAGTTTTTCATCCAACTGAGAATCAAAGGAAGAAGTGACAGATATTACAAAAAAGTAGATGCTCCCTTGCTAGCAGAGTTTGGGAAGTACTGAGTGAAATCATAGAATAAGTGCAATGGCGCTTTGCATTCCTTGGCAGTGTTCTGGAAGCTCCTTCTCAGGTGAACTTTTGCCTGCCAGAGAGAGCAGCGGGCCTTCATTTGAAGAAATTGGAACTCCCTCCCTGCACTTATTCACCACCAAGTTAGCTTTTCTGCCTTGCACTATTCCCACCAGCCAACCCTCAATGCTTGTCTAATCCCTCTCCAGTTTCTCCCATATGCTCTCAAATGTATTAAACCACCACTGGAAATTTTTTTTCTCTGTTTATACTTGGATACAGTAACCTTTGATGCATCTGGTCCCGGAGGGAATTTGAACAGTTGATTAGTTTAAATAAGTTTGCCTGTTAGATGTGTCTTTTTTTATGGCTTTTGATCCTTCAGACTATGTCAGCCTAGCAGTCCACCTCAAAGCAGGAAAGAAATCTAGGGCCCTTATCATGGGACATGCTGCGTGCTCACTGGAGTTAATAAAGATAGAGGGCATTCAGCACCAGGCAGGAAGTACTTTAGCACCTTGCAGGATCAGGGCCTAACCAATAAAAGAGCTATTACAAGTTCTCCAAAGAAATGCTCAGAGTCACACAATGCTCTCCCTGCAGTTAACTACAGTTACTGACATAAACTAACTGAGGATGAACCCAGCATCTGAAGTAACTGAAGCAAAGGGAGGCCCGCAGAATGTTAAGATACTCAGAAATTGGTAGGAGAGATGGAACACATGTTATTGGACAACAAAATTACAACCCAGGTGATTATGGAACATTTGTTTCTATAAGTATCTCCACAAGGAACAAACACTTAATAATGGGCTATCTTGAAAGGAAAACTATAACACAATCCAATGGCTGGAAATTGAAGCTAGACAAATTCAGACTGGAAATAAGGTGTACATTTTTAACAGTGAGTGTAATTAACCATTGGAACAATTTGCCAAGGGTTGTGGTGGATTCTCCATCACTGACAATTTTTAAATCAAGATTGGATATTTCTCTAAAAGATCTGCTCTAAGAATTATCTTGGGGAAGTTTTATGGCCTGTGTTATACAGGAGGTCCCTTCTGGCCTAGGAATCTATTAAAACAACCGCATGGCTCCGAGATGCTTACTGTTTTATCCACTCAAAGTTCACTTCCTAAGTGTACTAACATGCTCCAGCATGTGCAACTGTTGTGGGATAGCTACTTGAGGCAGATGCTTTTCAACCTCATGCATGCAGTCATATGTTACTTCATACTCCACAGGTATCCATAGTTGAAATAATATGATCTGAACTGAACAATTGCCCTTGAGTCCTCTTACAAAGATAAGCAACATTGGAACTCATTTTTCTCATGTGCAGAAAGCAGGCTGCCTTATTTTAAATTCTTTTACTCATAAAAATACATAATGCCCCATGATTCCCGCCTTTACTTGCATGACTCACAGCATTGTCATAAATCACATTACTCCTGCACTATATAAAAAAAACTTCACAAGATGGGAAAATTAATCACAATCATATGTTACCATATATCACAGAAAACTGTGTACATTTTTTCCCCATACAGGACATACTTCAACTAAAATAATTTTGACACCAATGATAGTGTTCCTTCTTCCTGTTAGAAGTAGGGTTTTTCCCCCCCATTTTGGTACATAAATAGAAGAGAACAGTCTTTGAAATATTTACGTCCAGAAGATTTTGCTGCTGTTTTTGCTGACATCTTCAATTCTCATTTTCTCTCCAGCCACGGGCATTCTTCCCAAATTTATAGACTAATCTTCGGCCATCCACACGCTCCAGTATTTCTCTTTTATAATAGTATCTGTTAAAAGAAAAAAAAAAGAAATAGATTTGATACTAGGCATTAGAGTTGAGAATAGTCTTTAAGGGACACTGTCAACTAAGAAATCACACTTGTAACTGAACATGTTTTACCTACTTTTATTACAAGTAAAATCTAAGGTTATTGTGTAAAGAGATTAGAGAAAACATCTTAACTCTTTTTTATTTTACTTTGTTTTAGTTTATACATTTGCCTGCACCTTGAGTGGACTATGCCACTTTTCAGAAACACCAGCTCATAGCTTATTCAGTGCTGCCAACTCTTGTAATTGTATCGCAAGTTTCATGATATTTGACATTTCTGTAAAAGTGCCAGCTTCTGGAATCCTGTGATCAGGAAAGAATCTCAGCTTTCATTTAAAACAAAAAAGAAATTTCTAGCCCTACTGGGTGCGGAGAAAAGCTTGAAAATGTGAACATCAAAAGGAACCCATGATTTTTAAGCCAATCTCATTATTTTGGGGGGCTTGACTTATGTGCAGGTTGGCAATACTGCTTATGCATTGCTTAGGCCCAATTTAAATCCTTTGAGTTTAGTAGTGACAAGGTCTTGAGCTGGTTCCTTTGCAGAGGGGTGAGTTTTACCTTTTGTGTTTAACCTTCTATAACAGTTAGTTTCACCTGTTTGCGTGGCTTGTTCACACAGCAACAAGGGGAGACAAAAACACTTAAAAAAATAAGAAAATGTAATTATAACCCCCTCAAAATCAAGACGGGAACTCAGATGGCAGACGTAACCAATTAAACTACTTTTAACTCATTTTTTAAAATTAACAAGATTCCAAATTGATGCCATATCTCTTTAATTATTCCAGGATTCATGTTTTCTCAACTCATGCTACCTCATGGCCCGGCTGAGTTTCTCATAAGTCATGCTGCTATTGTTTTTCTTCTTTCCCCAGAGCTGAGCCACCGCCTCAGATTTTAAGAACCTGAAGACACCTTCAGACCGGTCTTCCCACTTTATTAATCCTGGGTTCTTCTCTGAATTCAGGAGAATATCTCTGATAAATTCCCAGAGGTGAGTTCCTCGAGGATCTGAAAGAAGATGGAAGAAACAGAAAGACTTTCTCTGGGGTATTTTTTGTTTTTGTTTTATTTTGGTATGGTAGGTTGCTCACAGAAAATGACTTGTCTGCATAGAAACCACAATCTGACTATGCCTCCAGACTTCCATGTACATTGTCTGAGATGTGTAAAGCAGTAATCTAAGCAGGGGCAGCTCCAGGCACCAGCGCAGCAAGCGCGTGCCTGGGGCAGCAAGCCACGGGGGGTGGGGGGTGGCATGCCGGTCGTCGTGAGGGTGCAGTCAGGCAGCCTTGGCAGCTTGCCTGTGGGAGATCCGCCGGTCCCGTGGCTTCGGCAGCAATTCGGCGGCGGGTACACCAAATCTGCGGGACCAGCGGACTGCATGCAGGTGTGCCGCTGAAGGCCGCCTGACTGCCGTGCTTGGGGCGGCAAAAAACATAGAGCCGCCCCTGAATCTAAGAGACAAGGGTGGTGAAATAATATCTTTTATTTGACCAACTTCTGTTAGTGAGAGAGGCAAGCATTCGAGCCACACAGAGCTCTTCTTCTGGTCTGGGAAATGTACTCCAAGGGTCACAGCTAAATGCAAGGTGGGACAGATTGTTTAGCATTGTTTAGCACATAGTCTAAGGGACCCTTCAAGGTAGAAAGCTTGTCTCTCTCACCAACAGAAGTTGGTCCAAAAAAAGATTGTACCTTACCCACCTTGTCTCTCTCATATTCTGGGACCAACACGGCTACAACTACACTGCATAAAGCAGTAATCTTGACATTTCTCAAATTGAGGTTATGTTCAGAATAGCTCCCCAAAGATTTGCATATCTCTGTAAAGCTGCAGCAAAATACTGCACCAACTCACCCTCAGTAACTTGGATACAAAACAGAAAAATGGCGCCTAAGCGAGTCTTTGTTTCATATTACAAAGCTCAGCACTTTGAATTAATCCTATCAAATGTGTACCCTGTTGAAGCCACATACCTCAGACCGCTGCTCTGTTGCTTTATACTTCTACACCATGACTTTTGGCACTTATACCCATTCAGGAAGGAAAATCACTTGGAGTAATTTGCCCAGAAAGCTGTGGCGTTCTCCCCTACTAAAGACTAAGGAGGATATTTTCATGACCCATTTACCAAAATGGATGGAAATATTTGCACACCCAGGGTGTAACCTTGCCTTAAATCTCCATAATGGATGTGGATAATGAATCCTTCCTTAGTGGAGGGATGAGCCAAGGGCATTGCAAGGATTGAATTTCTCAGAGAGGAGATAGTTTTGGTGGCCAAGGCATCTCCTAACTTCTTTTCAACCCAGCAATCATGTCTTAAAGGAGCACACAGTAAACATTCATCTAATTCTGTGTTTCTGAAAGGTCCTTATTGATTAGGGCATTATTTGGAACTTCTACCCTGGACAAAGCAGTTGGTCAGATCCTCAGCTGGTGTAAATCAGTGTAGCTCCATTTGACCCATTTGCTTTGAAACTGGGCTCTTTCTTTCTGTTGCTTCCTTTTTCTCCCAAAACTTGAACCTAAACTTGTACTGTCTCTGGGCCATTAATCAAGCCACCAGTGTTGCCATAAGTAGTTGACTTACTGTGCTTCTTGGTGTGGGACTTTGGGGGATGATCTTGTGTTTTTTTCTCATCTGAAGACTCTGCAGAGGATGAAAATGAAATTATTCTCATAAACTTGGCTAAAGGTTTTCTGTTGACTAGCATATTAAAAAATAAAAAACCACAACAATGAATAATTGCCTGTTTTAAAGATAATCATCTTTCAAAAACTAAATGAGTAATCCGGGGGTTATTTTTGCTTTCTGGGTTATATTTTAATCAGCCAGGCTACATTTCACAAAGAGATCATTGATGAATAAAGGACAAATACAGAGGTATACAGTTGACTCTGGACATGTTAATTAGATTAACAAATACCTCACCCCATGTCCCTTGCACCATGTATGTCAGAATGAAAAATAAGAGGATCATATATATAAAAGCAATCCTGAATTCTCCCATTATGGCCCAGACTTTGCTGTAGCATGTAACTTTGGGGGTGCTTTTTTTTTTTTTTGGTTGTTCTATAGATGATCTAATGTGAATTGTATGTACTGGTACTAATGTAATGTACACCCACCTGCCTAAATGGAGAATTATCTGACAAGGCATTGTTCTTAAGAAAATAAATAAAAGCCGAGTAGTCCCAGAACTCAAGCTGGTGTTGTTAGGAATTTTTGACAGCTGGGCACATATATTTTATTTGACAGCTATAAGCCACAAGAACATGCTACTTCTCATCAGTGCAACATTTTTGCCTGTAAACACTCTTAAAAGGCACCAGATTTCTAGCTCAAGCCATTCCTCAGAAAAAATAAAGAATAAGAAGTTGTATTTATTCATTTCTTATCACCTAACTAAAGAAGATGATATTTCTGTGTTTAGTAGTCACCTTCTTGGAAATTAACAAAATCTGAATCTGTTACTGACATTAACACAAAAGGTTTCTTTTAATCAGGCTGAGAACTTCCACAAGGTCTATGAGACAATTCTAATTATAAGTCCCTCTTGTGCTTGCTCTGCAGGATATTTAGTGACTGAATTCCATAAAGTAAATGCTTAAGACCCATGCACGTTTTTCCAGTGGCTAAGTATTCACAATTACCATAATTTTGCATGGAAAGCAGGAATTTCCATGTGCAAATGACTTAATATAAATATCTATTTGCATAAAATCTTGCCTGAGTAGCACATGCATCTACAATAATTGTATCTAAAAAAATGGGTGCAAAAATATTTACAGACATACTGTACTCTACACCCAACTGGAAATATGAACTCAGAGGTAGGGTTGTCCAGAAAACTGAATATTAGGTCTAGGTGCAGGCCTGAAAAATTGAAAAAAAATTATAATTTCAGGTCAGCCTGGATGAAAGTGTTGGGAAATTTTTGGAGAACCAAAATGTTAAAAAAATGAATTTCAATTTTGAGTGTTTTTAATACATTTTAAATTATTTTAAAAATAAAACCAAGGGAAATTCCAAAAACAAAAAGTCAAAATGTTTCATTTCATAAATGCTGAAATGAACTCTGACATTTCTGGAAAAAAACATTCTGACCAAAACAATTTTACAGAATTTGTCTAAATTTGTGAATGGTTTTGATTAACCCAAATTTGCATTTTTGTGTTTGTGAAAAAAATGTTTCACACAAGATTTTGCTCAGCTCTACTCAGGGCAGAGAGGCAGGGCCGGCTCTGGCTTTTTTGCCGCCCCAGGCAAAAAAGCCTCCGGCTGGCCTCCCCCCACCCGAGGGCGGCCGGAGCCCTGGGAGGAGGGCGGCGAGCCCCAGCTGGGGCTCGCCGCTCTCCCCCCGGCGGCTGGGGGGAGGGCGCAGGGGAGGAGGGCGGCCAGAGCGCCGGGGGGAGGGCGGCGAGCCCGGCTGTGGCCCCACTCTCCCCGGTGGCCGGAGCGCTGGGCCGCCCCCCTCCAGGTGCCGCCCCAAGCACAAGCTTGGTGGGCTGGTGCCTGGAGCCGGCCCTGCAGAGAGGACAGTCCAGGCCTACCCTGTTTTAAGTCTGATATAGCATGGTCTTGATCCACAGCTGCAAATCAGCTCTGGGCTCATGTTTATATATCCTGCTCACTTTCAGAGAGCCCACTATTTACTTGCCTGCCCATTTTCAGAGAGCACCAGCCACTGATGGAAGTCACTGAGCTTGTGGGAAAACAGTGAAATTAAACGAGGGCCTGATTTTGCTGACTTTATCCATGTTAAGCTCCCATGGATGTCACTCAACTGTATATCAAAAGTCAGTGGGACTTTTGTCTTGATTAAGGACTGCAGCGTCAGGTCCTTAATTTGTAGGTAGTTTTACCTAACAATATGATTATTAAAAAAAACCACCTGATTTTAGAATCCCCTATTTAGTTTAAAATGGCTTTAGTATATTCGACTTAGCTGGTAATTTATTCAATGAAAGTCAATTGCCTTCTACTTAGTGATTTATTCTTTATTACACCTATGTAAACAGCCTCCCATTCTGCCTTTACACTTCCACGGAGCCCTGTTCTGAGCACACAGCATTTGAAGGCTGGGGCTTGACAGATGAAAAGAATTATGATGCAGTTTCAGCAAAGCTGCCTTGCAAAACTTGTGACAAAAGATTTCATATTATTTGCATATGATTCAGGAATGAGCTACTTCTTTATGGGATATACAAATTTAGTTTTTACAACAGGCTGTGCCCTTGGCGTGCCACCCTAGCTCTAGGCTCAACAAGTCAGCATATAAACACACCAAGCCAAGAATCTTGCTGATTCCCAGCAGTGTCAGAAAGCTCTGACGAGCTGGCAGCCATTTTATGAGAATGGGTGTTGGCAAGAGAAAAAGCAATTGGGTTTGGTGGGGTTTTTTAACATTTATTGCTGAATGCATTTGTTTATAAAGTGCACGTCACCTTGGCGAGCCTTTCTGTGCTTCTAGGTGAGGGCCACGCTGAGCATGCACATACAGATTCTTTTGTTGTAATCTGCCCTTTAATTGTGTCAGGTCAGTTTAAGGATGAGGGCCCAGTGGGCAAATGAACTGGAGAGCACCCAGCATGAGTCTCAGTGGGGAGCTGCAGGGGCAGTGGGAGGAGTGTAGTCACACTGCATTTCTTCTTTCCATCTCTTCCCATATCCCATTCTTTCACCTTTCTTTTCTCTCTCTCCCTCTCTCTCTCTCTCTCACCCTGATATTTTTTTCCTTTGATTCTTTTTCAGTAGTTGTTTCTCTTTAGACTACTTTCTCTTTTCCCCCTTTTCTTTCCTTATGTTTTCTCCCCTCCTTCCCCATGTTCCCTCAAGAGTCCTTGCTTCTTGTCAATATCTAATTTTTCTTCTCATCTTTCTCCTTCCTTCTCTCTCTTCTTTCCCCTCTTCTACCAATTCTCCAATCTCTCTTCCTTTCTTCTCTTCCCATCACTTCTCTCTCTCCTCTTTCCTCACTCCCTGCCCACAGCTGCCACTAAGTCACCATCCTCTAAATCATGCTTGCCACATTTTCATGTGTCCACCCACCACCATTCACTTATGCTTTTACCACTCTTTACTCCCCATTCACCTGCCACTCACCCACATCTCACTTGCCTACAGAAAGGTAGATTATATTCCTATTACATCCTCTTTATACTGCTCAGGAGGTGCAAAGAGGCCATCAAAGGGGTAAAATGGCCTGCTGTGGACATGACGTGCCGAGGCACCATAGGGCTGGAGTAGGTGATCCACTGAAGCTGTGGGAAATCTGCCTAGGAAGTATATCCGGGAACACCCCCTGCTCTGTTGCAGTTCAGTAGGGGAGACTTATGCCTGCCTATGGCCACTCTGTGCTGATGTAACACCATATCTGGCCATTGATACCTGTATATGAATCACTTTGCTCACCACTGAAGTGCACTTCTGAGGCGGGATGAGGCAGTCCTTTAGTTGTGCACAGCCACACCACACAACAGGTTATGACAGGATAGGAACATCTTATCTTTCTAACACTGTCTCTTCCACCTTGAGTCAGTCACTTGAAAAGATATGGGGGGTCCCCCTGACGTTACTGATTATTTGATGTTCTTTTTTTCTTGACAAAGAGAGGAGAGCAGAGCACTTTTTAAATAACTATTTAGTTAGGATCGCTAAAATAGCTAATATCAACATCAATATTGCTTGGTTTAAAACTATTGGATATCTACACTCAGACCTGCAACAGAAGACTTTTATATAGCAGTAATTCTAGGGTGTGTGACACAGATGATCAGCAATAGAATTAAGAGCTTCTTACCAAGAGGCTGGTGACTGGTAGTAGTCGTGGAAATCTGTGCGCGACAGAAAGTTTTACTGTCCAATAACTCTGGGGATTCAAAAGAAAAAGTTTTATGTTAACATCCTCTTACCACAATAAAACACTTCATAAATGCCTGAAGCATTGTGATGTTAGTTACCTACTGTGCTACCATAACCACTGTCATACAAATAATTCTCTTCTTTCCAGGAGGCCATTAAGGACGGATCTGAAGATAGGGACCAAAAGGAAAGTCTATATCAGTAAAAGAATACTATCCAGCAGTGAAGTGAGTAACAATGAGACACTGAACCAGTAGGACTAAGAGAAATGTGACAAATAACAGACCATGGGGAAAAAAACATGCAAGTTGCTACACCATAGACTGCTAGGTTCACCCATGCTGTTTGTACACTAGAGCAAATTTGTTAATACAGAACATTTATTTTTAAAAAATACTTTGTCTTGGCCTGTATTTTTCTAATATTCTCTCAGGTAATATTTCAACTATGTGTGTTCCAATGGGAGACCAGCTCTTCTTGCTGCCTGACCCAGCAGTGAAGTGTGTGACATTATGCTTTGTTGCTATAGAAATGATTGCGTCCTCAACAATTCAGCATTCTAGTAGAATTGAAGAAATTAAGGTTTATTCTTTGTTTGTATTATGGTGGTGCCCAGAAGCCCTTACTGAGGCCAAGGCTCCCTTTAGTTAGGTGACATATCAGTTCATAGAAAAAAACATGATATAATTGAAAGTTCAATCTTCTATGAGGGTCCCATTTTATATTATTAGATATATGCAGAATCTCTATTGAGGATCATACTCAGGGCCTGGTGCTAAACTTACATATATCCTTAACCTAAAGGACATCTTATTGGGCACAAAATGCATAATGCATGAATATGGAAGATTTTCAAAGCCACCCTTAGACTCATAGTGCTTCATACAATACAAGGAAAATTCAATGGAATGTTATAATAGCAGACTCATAACCTGCACACATTTGATTTTCTTGTCAGCTGCTGGTGAAATCATGATGCTTTTTGCATTACAACTTTTCAGGCCAGAGATGTTAAGTTTGTCTTCCTTTCTCTTTCCAAATCAAAGGCAATGAAGCATAAGACTCAAATTTGGGATTTATTTATTTTTTCAAGTTAATGCAATTGGAAACTGAAAATGAGTCACTAGCTAAATCATCTTGCTTGGCTGCATTAACATTTATGACATGGGAATTTAGCAGGCATTAGAACTACATGTCGGGGCATCCCGAGCCCATGTTCTTACAGTAGCACACACCCTTTTCTTGTTTGGACATCTGATCCACCCACTGTTGTCTCTGAAAATAAACCTTACCCAGCTAAAGCTTGGGGGGATTATTTGGCTTCACACTTACAGCTGTGCCAGCATCCACACTGAGGTAACCTTCCTTGACTTAGTAGGACCAGATAGGATTCCCCTCTGAACCCACCAACTTCATTTCTATCTCATCACAAGGAGCTGGCGTGTAGCCATATCAAGTTCTCCCATTCTCAAGAAAGCAGCACGCCCAGCCCCTGCCAGCTCGTGGACATACTGACTGTGCCTGGGTAATTGAACCTGGGCTTTTCATGTGGCAATGAGCAGAGCATCACCACAGCCCCACTGCACCAGCCCCAATCCAGCAATAGTTTTTAATAGTGGGGAAGTGACCACCATAAAAAAAAGTGAATACACAAGGCTTTAATATTTGCACAGTCTGTAGATGAATACTTTGTGCTGGCGTTGTGTATCTCTATTGAGGGGTGGATTAAGACTTAATCAGGCCAAGATCCACAAAGATATTGGGGATTCCTCCTCAGAGATTTTATCTCTCTCATATAGAAGACCTTTCCTTTCTCCAACTCAAATACAGGTAACTCCCCTCCAGCAGAAAGCCAACCTGCAGCTATACACAGGACTGTTACCTGCTATTCTTCCTCTGTCTGTGTCTCACTGTTCTGTCTGACCCAGCTCTGACCAAGGGGAACATATACCAAAAATCCTAAATTCCTGCCTTGATCTGTGCCTAGCCATATTCTATGCCGCAGGGAAAAGGCAATAGACTAGATGAATGAAATAGGCTATCAGTGTTTGTCTGAAACACTCCACGCTGTAAGCTGATGTTGATTCTTCTGGGAAATAATATGTGAGTATGCCAGTGGCTCATTAACACACCCACATATAAGGGAGTTGAGAGTGGCTATGTAGAGAGATCTGGAGTGTGAGCTGAGCCATTCTTGGAAAGGAACCCTGAAAATGGCCAAAGTTGAGGAGAAGACTTGAGCTTGATTTTGTGTTGTTCCATTGTAGTTCTTTTTAACAATGAAACCAAGCCCCAGGGAGGAAGTTATGAGCCATTACAAATTGTGCAAACTGTGTTTGGAGGAAGGTGATGAAGACACTGGTCAGGTGACATTTTAGAGGTCTCCTAACTCAAGTAACCCTATGCAATCTAGTGTTTCTGGTACCATGTGAGACCTCAGAGATTCAGTAAAGAGAATTTACTGACATTTTAGAAACCTCAGTTTTAATTTCATCTCCATTATTTAATGACCTCTTCTCTGGAAAATAGACTTGTTTTGGTATTTAAGTGAAGCTGTTGCTAAAACATCTACTATGAACTTTATCTTAGCAGCTATTTTCCTTGAACATTGACATCCAAGTAAAGTCAAGTTACCTGGCACACCATAACAATTGCTATTACTCACCTGTTTGTTCTGTTTTTACAACGACATTATGTGACGGGTACATTTCACTGCCACACTGACCTGCAAGAGATTGCATGGGAGAGGGGATGTGTAATTATGTGCACAGCACACACAGGAAAGATAGAGCTTCAAGCAGGGATCGATACCAAAGGGCTAATTTTGAAAAGACATGAGGTCACACACACACACACACACACACGCACACACATCCTCTGCCCGTGCCACACACTGTGAACTTCTCATTTAACTTCTTAGTGTGAATCTGCTAAATTACTATGATATGGCTGGAAATGGGAAGTGTCAGGTGAATGGATAGAAGGAAGGAAGAGTCTGTCATTTTTACCTTACTACGTCTGTTTCAGAGATGGTGGGTGAGGTAATCTGTTTTATTGGACCAACTTCTATTGGTGAGAGAAACAAGCTTTTGAGGCACACAGAGCTCTTCTTCAGCTCTGGGAAAGGTACTCTGAGCATCACAGCTAAATGCAAGGTGGAACAGACTGTTTGGCATAAGTATTTAGCACGTATTCTAAGGGACCAGTCAAGGTAGAGTGGCCCGTTAACACCCCAGAAGTCATAGGACAGAAAGAGGGATTAGTGGGTTACAGATTGTTGTAATAAGCCATAAATCCAGTGTCTCTGTTCAGTTCATGATTTTTACTGTCTAGAAGAATTATGAAGTTAAGCTCCCAAACTCATCTTTTGAAAGTGTTGTGCAGGTTTCCTTTGTGGAGGAGGACTCATAGGTCAGATATAGAGTGTGTGTTTTGTGAAGTGTTCACCCACAGGTGATAGGGTGTTTTTGTCTTTTATCGTTTTCCTGTCTGATTTCATTTGAGAGTGTAGTGATTGTCTTGTTTCACCCACACAGTTGTTATTGGGGCATTTAGTGCACTGGATGAGGTACACCACATGTTGTGATATGGAATGTGTAGGATCCATGGATCTTGAAAGGTGTGTTGTGGGGGTGTTGATCATTGTAGAGCAGAGATATGTCTACAGGTTTTGCATCTGTTGTTCTGGAAGGGACTGGTGCCGCTTTGAGTTGATGTGTCTCTCTCTCACCAACGGAAGTTGGTCCAATGAAAGATATTACTTCACCCTCTCTAATATCTTGTGACTGACACAGCTACAACTACCCTGCATACATCTATTTCAGTCATTCAACAGAATGAGTTGCCTTCTTGCTACATGAGGCCTCAAAAGCATGGAGGGGAGTTCTACATTTCTGCACACCTATGAATCTCCTGAGCATCAGTGGGTTACAGAGCTCCTTTCTGTAATATAAGAATGTGGGCTACTTGTTAAAAAAGAAAAACCTTTGTCTTTACTGATAAAACATCCAATCTGTTTTCATGGTCTTTTCCCAATATTGCTAAATTGACTAATGTCTTGTGGACCAGGTAAGACCTTAGTAAAGTGGGGGATAACCAGGAGTTTCAGTCCTGTGTGTCTCTTAGGAGCTCTGCAGAAATGAAGTTGCACTCCTGGGAAACTCTTAAACCCGTCACGAGCAGAACTTCAGTCACTGCAAGGCTGAGGAACATAAGTGGCCTTAGATCAACCCAGAATTCACAAAATTGTGGTTGCAGTCCTGTCCTGTCTATGCGCTAGTTTATATTTACCATTCCATTTTAGGTGCTGAAGGTTGCTGTAAAGAAGTTGGCCGGCTGTCCCAGCTGCGTGGGTGAATTCATGCAAAGTCATGCTGCACAGATGTTCGCCATCGATGTCAAAGTCCTGGAAAGGTATGCAGTTGGCATCCAGCTGGTTGGTATCCAGGAAATGCTGTAGCCACTCCCACACCTGGTACTTGGTCCAGTATTGAGGGTGTATCTCATGCCACTGAGTTCCATAGAAACTGCCAGGCACTGGGAAAGAGAAATGTTACGTATTCACTCTGTTAACACAACAGTAATGCTGAGCACAGAATGTCTATGTGCTGTGTACAGGAAAGAAAGCATGGTCTAGTGCTTAAAGCACATCACTGGAAGCCAGCAGATCTGAATTCTCTTCCTAGTCCCTAACACTAATTTGCTGATTGTCCTTGAGCAAGTCACCTTAATACTCTTTGACTCAGCTTCCCAATCTGTAAAATGGAAAGAATCAAACTAACCTAGGTTACTGGGGTATTATGGGAATTAATTCGTTCATGTTTGTAACATGCTTTCAAATTCTTGGGTGGAAGGCTCTACAGGTGGGAAAGATATTAGAGCATAGATGTATTGACGCCCACATGGGAAAAGGTACCTTTGAAGCATGTATAATAATGATGGGCCAAATCCTGCAGTTCTTGTTCGGGCAAAACTCCCTTTGAGATCAGTGGGGGTTTGGCTTGATTAAGGACTGAATAAATGCTGAGTATGGACTTCAGGATTTAGCCCAATAATGATCAAATAAATGTATATTTAAAGGTATATTATTACATAGTAAAATCTATCATATATAACCACCAACAAACATTAGCTGTGTAGCAGAGCTGGCATCCTAGTAAAGGCAGAGAAACAACTCATGCCTTGTATTTGGAGATACCTCAAAGAGATCTCTTAATATGCAAGGCTCCCTAATTTGTTCCTCAGAGGTTTTACTGAACATCTAAATTCTTTTTTGGTTGGCCAAATCCTCCAGAACAGCCTCTGTTATGTTCTTTCATGACAATAATTTGTATTAAAAATGCTAGAATCTAAGTGCACAAAAAGGATTTGTGCCTGCCACTGGGGTAATGAGATGTCGATACCCTGCCACTGGAGTAATGAGATGTCGATACCCTGACAATGGGGTAATGAGATGTCGATATTCACGGACGATACCAAGCCGGGAGGGGTTGCAAGTGCTTTGGAGGATATGATTAAAATTCAAAATGATCTGGAAAAACTGGAGAAATAGTCTAAAGTAAATAGGATGAAATTCAATAAGGACAAATGCAAAGTACTCCACTTAGGAAGGAACAATCAGTTGCACACATACAAAATGGGAAATGACTGCCTAGGAAGGAGTACTGTGGAAAGGGATCTGGGGGTCATAGTGGATCACAAGCTAAATATGAGTCAACAGTGTAACACTGTTGCAAAAAAAGCAAACATCATTCTGGGATGTATTAGCAGGAGTATTGTAAGCAAGACACAAGAAGTAATTCTCCCACTCTACTCCGCGTTGATTAGGCCTTAACTGGAGTATTGTGTCCAGTTCTGTGTGCCACATTTCAGGAAAGATGTGGACAAATTGGGAAAAGTCCAGAGAAGAGCAACAAAAATGATTTAAGGTCTAGAAAACATGACCTATGAGGGAAGATTGAAAAAATTGGGTTTGTTTAGTCTGGAGACGAGAAGACTGAGAGGGGACATGATAGCAGTTTTCAAGTACATAAAAGGTTGTTACAAGGAGGAGGGAGAAAAAATGTTCTCCTTAACCTCTGAAGATAGGACAAGAAACAATGGGCTTAAATTGCAGCAAGGCGGGTTAAGGTTGGACATTAGGAAAAACTTCCTAACTATCAGAGTGGTGAAGCACTGGAATACATTTTCTAGGGAGGTTGTGGAATCGCCATTATTGGGGATTTTTAAGAGCAGGTTAGACAAATACCTGTCAGGGATGGTCTAATACTTAGTCCTGCCTTGAGTGCAGAGGACCGGACTAGATGACCTCTCCAGGTCCCTTCTAGTCCTGTGATTCTATGATTCTATGTCCTAATTTACCAAGGTGAGCACAAGCACCACAAGCGATTGCTGGGGATACTGCGTGTGGTGTGGGGAGGAGAGAAACAATCCTGCACTGACTTGACTACTCACGGGCTGTCTAATCTCCGGCAGAAGGTATGGAATGGAAAGTAATTCAATGAGAGGCAACTCATAGCCTGATTTATACATCTGGCAGCTTGGGAAGGTGTAAATCATAAGGCCAATCCTGAGATTTGTGTGTGCAAAAGTTAGTGTGCACAATGTAGTAGTGAAAATATTAACTATATTAATATGTAATAACATATATTAATATTAATAATGTGTATACAGTGTTGTAAATTTGCACAGCACTTTATACACAAACACACACTCCAGACCTTATTCACATTGACTAGTAACCTCTTCTGTAAATGAGACTACTCACAGAGTCAGGGACTACTCAGTGAATAAGCATATCGGAGTATGGCCCTGATAAAGGGATATATTCCCTGCCCTAAAGAGTTTACAACCTAGATAAGCCAGGACAAGCACACACAAGGCAAGAGAGAGGATGATGTGTTGGGATTGTTCGTGAGGAAAAGAACAAAAGCAGGACTGCTTGAAGAGGTGGGGTTGAAGGAAGAATTTGAAGCAGGACAGAGAAGGTGCTTGGAAAAAGAGGACAATGAGATAGTTCCAGACATAGTCTATAGTATGAAAAAAGGCATGAGGTGAAATTTGGGGAAAGGAGACAAACTATTATTGGAAAGGGCACAGGGGAAGTAGTGGGAAATGAAAACAGATGCAGGTAGGGATGAGAATTTTCAGGGCCTTAGAGATGAGGATAGGGAACCTGAATTTGATGCAGTAAGGAGCAGGAAACCAAAAAGAGGGATCCAAGGAGAGGGATCAATCGGAGCAATAGGAGAGGAATATGACTTTTGCAGCAATAATTTGAATACTAGAGTGGCAAAAATCTGAGAAGCAGGGATGACAAGTAGGTGTGAGTGTCAGCAATCAAGTTCTTTAGGATATGAACAAGATTTTAGCAGGGACGGGTGGGGGCATAAGGAAAGGCCAAATTGCTCTAGCTCATTTACAAGATATGGGCTTAATGCAGCAATTAATGCGTGAAATTCTATGGCCTGTGTCATACCCGAGGGCAGACCCGGTGATCATAGTAATCCCTTATGACCTTGAATTCTATGAATTTGTTTGTTTCTGTCTTTGACAATGTGGCACTGTCTATGTACAACATTGATACAGTATTCTCATTGCTTAACTAAATATTACTATTTATATTATTTATATTTATTTAACACCAAGAGTGTGCTAGATACTTTGCGTACGTAGAGGAGGTCAAGATCCTTGCTCCAAAAAGCATAAAATCTAAAGCTAAAATATAAGAAGCACATACTATACCTTTCTATTCTTTCTGTGAATAAATTCTATTTGGTTAAAAAAAATCCCCAAAAGCAGGGGTGAAATTTTGCCAGTTTCCGATTAAAAATAATAAAACTCTAATTCTGTCTGAAGGTGGGCAAAATGCTCTTTTTTTACTTCATCAGAATTTCACATTAAAACCAGATATTTCTGATAATATCAGAGAATGGGAATCCTAATTTTAAGGCCCACAAAATGATGGTGCGGGCCCCTGATGTTTTTACATATCTTTCTGAAAATTGAACTGTTGGTGAAAACACTACAAAAACAAATATATAGTCAAAAAGGGACCAGAGCAAGACCACTTAGCTGCCTCGATGAAAAAGCTCCATGTAGGCAAAGCAAAGCAGCACTATATAAAGATGGCTTATTAATCAGCTAAGGCTTATGTGTTAATTAGAATTATTAAATTTGCCAGTAAGTCCCACAGAGAATCCCCCTGCTCCCATCTTAATAAAGGTGCACCCCAGCCATACTGAGCTAAACAAGGTGGAATGATGCGCCAATAGGCGATACTAAGGACAGCATATTTCAGCCCCCACATATCTCATTGTTGGACTCTGGAGATCATCAGAGATAAGGGTGAAAAAATGAGTGATTTTTTTTTTCTAAAAATTTTAAATTCAAATTTTTAAAATTTGAAATATCATCTATGTTTTAAAATTCCAGCTCTATATTTGGCTGAGCGGTGGGGACGAAGGGGGAATTTTCAAGCTTCTGTTCTGCAAGTCAAAAAATTGTCAAGAACCAGCTTTACTGTATGAGCCTTCCATCCTGGGCACTGATCCAGTATTGCATATTCTAGCCAAAAACAAGAATATCCAAAGTGGTTGTGAGAAATGTTAGTAATACAATCCCCAAGTTTCCCTAGCTACCAATACCGGGGAATGAGGGGTATCTTAGGAGCAGATTGCAGTGGGTGCAGAACCATTTGCAGCCCGCAGTTGCAGGATTGTGGGGAATTAATTACTATGTAGAGGGCTCCAGAAAGTAACAATGGGATTTAGAAGCCACTGGGCACCCTCTGAAGAACCTGAGAAAGGTGGTTGCCTCTGTCCCTGCAGGCTGCAGTCTTAGAAACGGGGAGAGGACATTTGCAGGCCACCAGTTCTCAAACCAGAAGACTTTAAAGGTCAAAGAGGGGCTCTTGTTGAGAGAGGAGAGTGGGCATGTGGAGAGAATTGCAGAGAGGAGGATACAGGTTGACTTGGAATTTCAGACTCATGTGAATTCAAAACTGGAAGTGATTACTGAATGATTGCAAAGGTAGAAATCCCTGCAAATAGAAGCCACCAGTTTAGGCTGGCAAAATCCCATGTAAACTGAAACTAGCGCTTCTCAATCAAACATGATTTTCACCATGAATCCTTGTGGGCAAAATGAAAGGCAACCTAGTGTGTTTATCAAGGGCACTTTTATATATTCTAAGGTATTTAGGAATCACACAGAGAAAAGAAACAGAGCTTCTTTTAGTTCTGAATGAGAGAATCTTCACTGCATGTTTGGTTATAGCATTTTACAGGACTGTGATTAGTGTGTGATATAAGGTGCTTGCCTGGCTTGATTTTAAGGTTTACTGCTGCTACTGTGACATTGTATTGGGTAGGGGGGAAAGATCTTAAAAGGTGTATCTAATATAATATATAGGTGCCCAGTTCTACCACCATTCAGAATTCAGAAAATAATGGAACAGGACCTCTAGCTCTAAGTCACTGCTTAGGCTAGAACTTGGGTTGATACTGACCCAAAGCCCTCACCATCTGATGGCTGTTTAATGGCCTATGTGAAATGGAACTGGACATCTCTGTCCATTATGAATTGAACAGGTTCATAAAAATCCCCATCACTGGCAATAACCCTCAGTGTCAGTCTGTCTTTCTAGTAGTCTGAGCTGAGAAGGCAAATACTGTGCAAGAGCAGGAAAACTGAACTCCCTTCTCAAGTGGTCCCTGCAGGTCAAGGTCAAAGAATAATGTCTGAGCAGTGTGTGTGTGAAGCTTGCATTGCTGCTGCCCGTGTTGTACTTTTTCTGTGAAGAGGGAACTTTGGGGCTGTCAATCCAGCACTTTTTATTAGCACTCAATTCACTTTTAGAAAAAGAACCAGTAATAAACCACAAATTATTATCATTTCTAGGCACACCGTCCTCCTGGTGAAATTCCAATAAAATATAAAGGAGTTTGGATAGTGCAGAGGTCAAAAATCATACCTATGTATATTTAAAGGCATAATACCCCCTCCCCTCCCCACACACACACTTTCCAAAATATAGATAGTACACCATTGTTGAATTCCTCCTACCATTACATGTGGGATATCCATCTGTCCAGGAAGGCTGCTGGTGAAGTAGATTGCTGCTGGAATTGATACTCATTCTGCCAGTTCCTTCCAAAATCATGATCTGTAAGTACATCGAACAGCTTGCTTAGCTAGTGGCAAGGCAAGTGGCAAAAAATTCCATTGAGGGTGAGGTGAGCAATGCCAAGTCCATTTGTAGAAGACACAGCCCAGCTAGGGAACATGTTGCCACAACCCCTTTTCAGCTGCAATGAAATCTCCTTGTGGTAAACATTACCATTTTCATATGCATGAGGCAAGTTTTTACAGCCACCCATCCATAAATGAATAATCTCTGATCAGGAATGGAGTAGAATGAAAATGCACGGCTTCTGACAGAGCAATGCTGGAAGAGCTCCAAGCTTTGTGAAGTGAAATACAAAGCGGTTTCTTTTTATTTAAACGAAATTTCACAAGGTAAACTCTGACTGCTGTAGTTTTTAAAAAACACCTAGTTTTCTATTTTATTTTGGACTTCAGAATAACTGATAATTGCAACCATGAATTTAACAGACTACCAGAGATACAGGCACAGAAAATCCTTCATTCATAAAGCCCTATGAGGTAATGGTATATGGATCCTTTTGCCACTGTGGCACAAGTTCTTGTCTAACCTATGTTGGTAGTGTTTTTAAGCCACTGTTATCTGGCTGTTGCCGACTATCAGATTCAGACCACAGCAAACTCAGAAGTCCAGGTTATAAGCTCTTGAAAACTAGGTGGACACATAATAGAAATGGTGAGAGAAAGGTGCCATTATCCATGGACAGAGAGTTACTTAAAAACACCACTCTAAAATACCATTTTATTAAGGAGTCACGCAGACTTTTTTTAAAAAACCTGAATCTAGCCTGTAGCAGCTACACAAAACAGCCTCTTTCATGTCTGCTATAAATTTGTTGTGCAATGTTCCCTTTGTAATAACGTATAAAAACATGCTTTTCATTTGAACACATGGTGAACGTAAGGAAATTCCCCACTGATATGCATTCTTAATATGGTACATTATATACCTCAGTCTGGAAGATGCAAAGCATAAAAGTTTGTTTCATAAACATATATTCTGTAATCTTTTGGAAGAATTTTAAGTAGCATGTTAAGCATTTATAAAGGCAGCTGATTTATATCAAGTTAGTTAAATATATATTAAATATGATCTGATTTGTGATTCTAAATTGTCTTCTGATTTCAGAGCCCCATTATTTTTTAGAACTATAACTTTAAAAGTCACATAGGTAGGTGAATTTGATTAAGTGCACGGCAGTTTTGCATTATAAATAATTGAAGCATGAAACTAGGCATTGAAAGTCCAGTACACTTCACAGTATCTCAACTGTGGGTATATTGCACGAGATAACATCACTAATTCTGGCCCAACTCCTATTGAAGTCAATGGCAAAACTCCAATTTATTTTATTGGGAGCATGATAGGGCTCATTATTTTGTTAAAGACAAGTTCATAGTAGTAGCCATTTCAGAAGGTAGGAAGAGGTCTCTTTGAAGTAATCACACCTGAATATTTTCTGGTTATGAATAATTTTCCGAGGACCACTTGAGTGGATATTCACCACTCACCTGTTATCTTTATTAAACAATCCTTATTAGAAAATTACCAATTTTAAAGGAGCAATAAGAACATATATATGTATAATGTACAATATTGCTGGTATTTTGTATTAAATACCAATGCCTTAGGAAATGTAATGTAGACAACAATCCTACCCTGATAGGAGGTGGTCTAAGGCCCTTACTTGCATGAATAAGGGGCTGCTGGAATGGACCCTGGATGATTTAATAATTGGTATCCATTTCTGTTTCCTATGAATCTGCAGTTCCATAACCATCCACATGTCAGACTTTATCTTGCACAAAGGGAACTTTACATCTACAACATCTGCAGGATTCAGATAGTACACTTCTGATATCACAGCTCTGACAAAAAAGTGAGTAAATTTTGTCTAGATTTATTCCCCGTGCAGCTTCACTGAAGTCAATGGGTTTATGCACGGAGTAAGTTAGGACAGGTTTTGTCCTCTGATTCTCAAGACACACCAGTGCCAAGTTATCTGCTACCCTGGGGGAGAAAGTGTCATGAAAGGTTTTCTTTTAATTAAATTGACTCTAAAATAATTTGCCACCCAGGCAATATTTCATCTTATGTAACACTGAAAATCTAGAGTTTCTTTTAAGCACTGATTGGTTTATGTAGCACATGCTATGCATTCATTCATCCATATATTCACATATCTCTGAGAGCATATTGACTGAGTAACACATCTGCATCATTCTTTGTCATCTTATTTTTAATTATTTATTAAAATATTTCATAGTCATTAAACATTGTATGAGTGAAGTCGGAGTAACATCAGACCTCATTACAGCACCAAATATTTTATGAGAGTTGAGGCAGGAGCACCAGACTTTGTGTGCAGATTAAAACGTATGCAGATTGGCAAGCATTTTGCTATACAAATTAACCAAACCAATATATATTCCTCCTTAAAGCTATGCTTTCACAGTAGCTCCTTACAGAGTTGCTTCAAACAAAACAATTGCATCACCTTTCTAACATTATCTGTGGAATACAATTATACCTGGGAGAGAACATTGGAGATAGGCTGGAGAGGTATGGGTCTGGATTCTAACCTAATCCAAACTCTCCCAAAGTTTCTGGTGTTTGGATTCAGAATATTGGTTTCACCCACAGTCAGGGCCGACGAGAGGGGGGGGAAGCCGGTACAAATTACCGGGGCCCGGCGGTCCTGGGGCCTGGCTTCCCCCCCCCTCGTCGGCCCTGTTTAGCCGGTCCGCCCTTGCTGGGGGGGGCCCGAAAAAAAATTTTCACCGTGGCCTGAACCCGCTCTTGGCGACCCTGCCCACAGTAGGAGGATCAAGGGCCAAAGCCTAAGGACCTACTTGGTCAAAAGTCCTATTGACTTCAGTAAGTGTTTTCACTGAGTCCCAACTTCAGCGCTTGGTGCTAAATGAATTAGTTTGCTAAATTCTCCTTTTCTTTCTTGACCATATGACCACTCCAGGCTGATGTTTGTAATTTAGTTTTAACCACTCATTGCCTGACCATGGAGAAGATCCAGCATTTCAGAAAAACACATTTACAAAGAACCATTGAGCCTTGTAGAGCATACCGTATGCAAATTACTTCATTAAACCAGAGCTGTGCTCTGAATCTGAATGACTCTGATCCCCATTTTCACGTTTTGTTCCAAAGAATCTGCAGATCTAGACGGTGAACTGTCCTCATCATTTTGGACCTGAATCTTTCAGGGGTGTTCACATTTTGGTGTCGTTGATAATGCTGAAAAACAGTGCGATGTGGGGGAGAGTAGCACAGGAAAAAATTGAGCAAATTTCAAATTATTCTAATCCATGTAGTGGTTCTGAAATCCTTTTGTAGGGCTGGGAGAGTTGCAAAGTTGAGATAAGTCAGGGGTAAACTATGCAATTTATGTGCAAACAGCAAGTATCAGAGGGTATGAAACCCTAAGGGGAAGGAGGCACACCGCTTTCTGTTTGTTTAACCATATGCCCTCTGCAAAAGACAAATAAAACAAAACTAAGCCAAATTAGACAGAAACTATTAAACTATGACTCTACTTGTAAACTATTCATAGGGACCATAGTGATCATCTAGTCTTATCTCCTGTAGAGCACAGGCCATAGAATTTCCCTCAACGTATTTCCTAGAGCATAGCTTTTAGAAAAGCATCCAGTCTTGATTTAAAAATGGTCAGTGATGGAGAACCCACAAAGACCCTTGGTAAATTGTTTCAATAGCTAATTAACCTCGCTGTCAAAAATATATGCGTTTTTTCCAGTCTGAATTTGTCTAGCTGCAACTTCCAGCTATTGGATTGTGTTATATTTTTCTCTGCTACAAGAAAGAGCCCTTTATTTAAATGTTTGTTTCCCATGCAGGTACTTATAGACTGTAATCAAGTCACCCCTTAATCGTCTCTTTGTTAAACTAAATAGATTGAGCTCCTTGAGTCCATCACTATAAGGCATGTTTTCTAATCCTTTAATCATTCTTGTGGCTCTTCTCTGAACCCTCTCCAATTTATCAACATCCTTCTTGAATTGTGAGCACCGGAACTGGATACAATATTCCAGCAGCGGTCACGACAATGCCAAATGCAGTGGTAAAATAACCTCTCTACTCCTACTCGAGATTCCCCGGTTTATGAATTCCAGGATTGCATTAGCTCTTTTGGCCACAGTGTTCCACTGAGAGCTCACATTCAGCTGATTATCCACCACCTCCAAATCTTTTTCAGAGTCTCTGTTTCCCAGGATAGAGTCCCATATTCTACATTATTTGTTCCCGGTGTATACACTTTCATTTAGCCATATTAAAATGCACATGGTTTGCTTGTGCCCATTTACCAAGCAATCCAGACCACTCTGAGTGACCTGTCCTCTTCATTATTTACCACTTCTGCAACTTTTCTGTCATCTGCAAACTTTATCAGGAATTATTTTGTTTTCTTTCAGGTCATTGTTAAAGATGTTAAATAGTGTAGGGCCACAAATCAATCCCTACGAGACCCCACTGGAAACAGACCAGCTCAATGATGATTCCTAATGTACAATTACATTTTGAGACCTATCAACTAGCCAGTTTTTAATCCATTTAATGTGTGCCATGTTAATTTTATATCACTCTAGTTTTTTAATCAAAATGTTATGTGGCATCAAGTCAAACACCTTACAGAAGTCTAAGTATATTACATCAACATTCTTACCGTTATCAACCAAACTTGTAAAAGAGATATCAAGTTAGTTTGACAGGTTTTATTTTCCATAAACTCATGTAGATTTGCATTACTTACATTACTCTCCTTTAGTTCATTATTAGTTGAGTCCTGTATCAGCTGCTCCATTACCTTGCCCAGGACCAATGTCAGGGTAACAAGCCTATAATTACCTGGGTCGTCCTATTTACCTTTTAAAATATTGGCACAATATTAGCTTTCTTTCAGTCTTCTGGAACTTCCCCAGTGCTCCAAGACTCATTGAAAATCAAAATTAATGGTTAAGCAA